GCGGTCTCACCACGGCTACGTGCAGTCTCAGCATGGCTGCGGGCGGTCTCACCACAGCTATGGGCAGTCTCAGCATGGCTGCGGGCGGTCTCACCACAGCTATGGGCAGTCTCAGCATGGCTGCGGGCGGTCTCACCACAGCTATGGGCAGTCTCAGCATGGCTGCGGGCGGTCTCACCACAGCTATGGGCAGTCTCAGCATGGCTGCGGGCGGTCTCACCACAGCTATGGGCAGTCTCAGCATGGCTGCGGGCGGTCTCACCACAGCTATGGGCAGTCTCAGCATGGCTGCGGGCGGTCTCACCACAGCTATGGGCAGTCTCAGCATGGCTGCGGGCGGTCTCACCACAGCTATGGGCAGTCTCAGCATGGCTGCGGGCGGTCTCACCACAGCTATGGGCAGTCTCAGCATGGCTGCGGGCGGTCTCACCACAGCTATGGGCAGTCTCAGCATGGCTGCGGGCGGTCTCACCACAGCTATGGGCAGTCTCAGCATGGCTGCGGGCGGTCTCACCACAGCTATGGGCAGTCTCAGCATGGCTGCGGGCGGTCTCACCACAGCTATGGGCAGTCTCAGCATGGCTGCGGGCGGTCTCACCACAGCTATGGGCAGTCTCAGCATGGCTGCGGGCGGTCTCACCACAGCTATGGGCAGTCTCAGCATGGCTGCGGGCGGTCTCACCACAGCTATGGGCAGTCTCAGCATGGCTGCGGGCGGTCTCACCACAGCTATGGGCAGTCTCAGCATGGCTGCGGGCGGTCTCACCACAGCTATGGGCAGTCTCAGCATGGCTGCGGGCGGTCTCACCACAGCTATGGGCAGTCTCAGCATGGCTGCGGGCGGTCTCACCACAGCTATGGGCAGTCTCAGCATGGCTGCGGGCGGTCTCACCACAGCTATGGGCAGTCTCAGCATGGCTGCGGGCGGTCTCACCACAGCTATGGGCAGTCTCAGCATGGCTGCGGGCGGTCTCACCACAGCTATGGGCAGTCTCAGCATGGCTGCGGGCGGTCTCACCACAGCTATGGGCAGTCTCAGCATGGCTGCGGGCGGTCTCACCACAGCTATGGGCAGTCTCAGCATGGCTGCGGGCGGTCTCACCACAGCTATGGGCAGTCTCAGCATGGCTGCGGGCGGTCTCACCACAGCTATGGGCAGTCTCAGCATGGCTGCGGGCGGTCTCACCACAGCTATGGGCAGTCTCAGCATGGCTGCGGGCGGTCTCACCACAGCTATGGGCAGTCTCAGCATGGCTGCGGGCGGTCTCACCACAGCTATGGGCAGTCTCAGCATGGCTGCGGGCGGTCTCACCACAGCTATGGGCAGTCTCAGCATGGCTGCGGGCGGTCTCACCACAGCTATGGGCAGTCTCAGCATGGCTGCGGGCGGTCTCACCACAGCTATGGGCAGTCTCAGCATGGCTGCGGGCGGTCTCACCACAGCTATGGGCAGTCTCAGCATGGCTGCGGGCGGTCTCACCACAGCTATGGGCAGTCTCAGCATGGCTGCGGGCGGTCTCACCACAGCTATGGGCAGTCTCAGCATGGCTGCGGGCGGTCTCACCACAGCTATGGGCAGTCTCAGCATGGCTGCGGGCGGTCTCACCACAGCTATGGGCAGTCTCAGCATGGCTGCGGGCGGTCTCACCACAGCTATGGGCAGTCTCAGCATGGCTGCGGGCGGTCTCACCACAGCTATGGGCAGTCTCAGCATGGCTGCGGGCGGTCTCACCACAGCTATGGGCAGTCTCAGCATGGCTGCGGGCGGTCTCACCACAGCTATGTGCAGTCTCAGCATGGCTGCGGGTGGACTCACCACGGTTATGTGCTGTCTCAGCAGGGCTGCGGGTGGTCTCAGCAGGGATGTGGGAGCGGTCTCACCAGGGATAGGGGTGGTCTCACCAGGGACCTGCAGGGTCTCAGGAGATAGAATGCAGGGTTAGGGCTGCTGACAGCTCGCCCACCCTCTGTGTCCGGGTCGGTCTTCTCTCTCCCCTGTTCCTCTCTGCCTGACACCGCTCCTAGACCCCTCCTTCCCGGGGCCCCCAGGGGCAGAGCTGGCCCTGGCAGTGCATGTTTAAGGATGATTCTGCGCGGGCCCTCTTCTTTATCTCTGGGCCCCCCAACAGGCGGAACGCCAGGGCCCGGTCGCGATTGCCACCGCTGCGACCCTTGTAGTTCCGCCAGTGTCAACAAGCCTGAAACAGCTGCATGCAGTTTGGTGTAACCAGCGCTGTAATATAAGTCTACATTTGCCCAGAACACCCGTGGTTCTGGAGGTCCATATGGGCAAGTGGGTGAAAAAGCAATAATTTGCATGGCCCCGCCCCTTCCATGGAGGGAAGAATCATTAATTTTAGTATGTTAGTATGTCTTCAGAGTCAGTCCTCGTCAGAATTGGTATGCCCCAGTATCTCCAGAGTCAGTCTCCCCCTGTATACTTAGTCAGACTTGGTACACCCCACTAACTTTAGTCAGACCCTGTCTCCCCCTGTACTTCCAGTCACGGTTGGTACAGCCCTCTATCTTCAGTCAGCTTCTGTCTCCCCCTGCATCTCCAGTCACAGTTGGTAAAGCCCTTTATTTTCAGTCAGCTTCTGTCTCCCCCTGCATTTCTAGTCAGAGTTGGTACAGACCTCTATCTTCAGTCAGATTCCATCTCCCCCTGCATTGCTAGTCAGAGTTGGTACAGCCCTCCACCTTCAATCAGTTTCTGTCTCCCCCTGCATCTCCAGTCACAGTTCGTAGAGCCCTCTATCTTCAGTCAGCTTCTGCAACCCCCTTTCACCCCACATCTCCAGTCAAAATTGGTAAAGCCCTTTATTTTCAGTCAGCTTCTGTCTCCCCTTGCATTTCTAGTCAGAGTTGGTACAGACCTCTATCTTCAATCAGATTCCATCTCCCCTGCATTTCTAGTAAGAGTTGGTACAGCCCTCCACTTTTAGGCAGTTTCTGTCTCCCCCTGCATTTCCAGTCACAGTTGGCGCATCTATCTCTATCCTCAGTCAGCTGTAGCCACCCCCCAATATCATCCTCATTCACAGTTGGTACATCCTTCTAGTTTCAGTCAGAGTCAGTCTCCCCTTGTATTCCTCGTCAGAATTGGTGTGCCCCTGTATCTTCAATCAGAGTCAGTCTCCTCCTGTATACTTAGTTAGAGTTGGTACACCCCACCAACTTAAGTCAGATCCTGTCTCCCCCTGTACCTCCAGTCACGGTTGGTACAGCCCTCCATCTTCAGTCAGCTTCTGTCGCCCCCTGCATCTCCAGTCACAGTTGGTATAACCCTTTAGTTTCAGTCAGATTCTTTCCCCCCCTGTATCTCCAGTCACAGTTGGTATAACCCTTTAGTTTCAGTCAGATTCTTTCTCCCCCTGTATCTCGAGTCACAGTTGGTACAGCCCTCTATCTCCAGTCAGAGCTGATTCGCCTGGTCAGAGTTTGCTGGTCAGAGTTATGATCTCATTTGGTATCATCCATCAGTAACGATACATTCCACACCCTCTAATAAGTTTTCACCGTCGTCCACCAAATCAGGAAATCACCTCAAATAACTGTTGTGTGACGATTTCTTAAATCTTCTTAAATTTCCCTGAGAGCCCCGGTACCTGTAGTCAGCTCTGGTATCCCCCTATAATCCGAGGTGGGATTTCCCTGTATCTCCAGCCAGAGTGGGTTTCTCCCTGTAACTACAGTCAAAGCCCCCCCACCCCACCCCCTTGAATTTCAATCCACTTGACAGGCTTGGAACCTTACCTGAACACCCCCCTACCTTTTTGTCAGACTTAGTACTTCCCCCCTGTCAGATTTGGTACCTCCCCTCTCTCCTGTCACACTTGGTCC